AAGATGCTTGAATCTATTTGAAACATGCTTAATAATTACAAACACCACAATTCACACATAGTCTCTTCTTGAGCAAAGTTCATCAACATAAGCCTGAGACATTCAAGAATACGTTTCACCAAGCATTCAACATTACTTGACCAGATTCCACATTTACCAAGTTAAGCATAATAATCAGATCATATATAAGCAGATTATGCAAGCATGCATCACAACGTTTACCAAGCATGCAACTCAACATATCACATCCACTATCATAATCACGAGAGCATGCACAGATCAACAAAATGCAACACGTTCCAAGCAGGTTTCAAGACTAGACCTTATCATGCAACCAATTCACAATCACCACAAAGAGAGATCTAGACCCTAAACGTGCATCCATGTGCCAAAAACCAATAATCAAGCTTAACAAATTATGTGCATGTCATCACTCGCAACTAAGGAAAAAATCTAGCATGCAAAACAAACCCAATAACTCAAAAATTTATCTCGGAGGACAAACTTCACCCGCGACGGATCTTTTATCCCGAAACACAAACAACCTAATGCTAGATACAAGACCTAACTTAGAAACCGAACCAAAACGCATCGGGGCTAGAAAATCAAAAAGAAACTAGATCTTACCGTGTTATCTACCATTGGCTAACTGTAGAAAGGATCAGGAATAAGAAATTTCTCTTAGTTTTGGATTTGGGAAAATTTTCGCATCGTTTGGGTAAGGGGAAACAAAAATGGTCGAGAAAACTTAAGTGTGGGTCAGTATTTATAGGCAAGGGATAAGAATTCTCGACCAGATCTCTCTCCACCAAGTATTACGCCTGTAGCTGCATGGGCGACAGGTGGTAGAACGCTTCTTGCGACCTAGCCGAGGCTCGGTGTTACCCGCACGCGCCTACCCTCAACGCTGGAAAAAGTTACCTGCACCTGTTCCGATCATTCTCGAGCTGCAATAGGCATGAATTCAACCCGGGACTGCACTGTATTACATGCGGTACGTTGCGATTATCCGCACCATGATTCGATTCGATCCTTAGCCATCTTTTGACCTCGATTTAATTTTTCTTTGACCCAAAGTGATTTTTCTTTAACAAGGACTCTTTTTCGACTTCTTCTAAATTTTTCGAAGTAGAAGGGCTTGGTTCCCGATAAATGGTTCCTTCCTCGATATCGCAGTTAACTCAACCCTAGCATGTTTCCTTTTGATCCAGATCATTCCCTTAATCAAGCCTAAGAAATTCCCACTCAATTGAAAGTTAGTGCCCTTTGCCGGCTCGATTTGGATTGTGGCCGATCAAGTCGTTCCATTGGCCGATAGCATTGATCCTTTAGAGATTTTCTTCGATATGAATTTATTATAAGTCTTTCATGGCCGTTCCAATATTTTCAGCCTTGTATCCCAAACTTTTTAGTAGCGGTCGTTCGGGCCTCATACATTTCTCAGGGGCTGGGTTCCCCATTTATGGGCTTTTTTACTACTTCCGCTCGAGACACTAAGAATCATTGAATAATAAACTCCACTCGAGACACTAAGAATCACCATGCCACGTGACAAAAAGTAATTATTTTATCCCCAACAATATGTAAAGTTTATAAAAGCTTACGAGATATACATAGTACAAAAAAAAATGTCTATAAGGAATATATTTCTAACTAATTATATTTTAGCATTATTATGCGCATATATTTCAAATTGTAATGCATTCTTTTTAACCAGTTGAAACATTTTTTATTGTAAACCTATTAGATGTTAGATCGGATAATAGTTGGAAAATATAAATACCGAATTGAATTACTATTTTTTTCCTTTTGTACCATTTTCTTTATATGTGATGTATTATTATTGTTTTGTTAGAAAAGTCAGCAAAGACGCGTTCTCAAAGTCATAAAATTACCCAACATATGTTAAATGATCTGTGTAAAATATTATTTGTGTAGAGCTCATTGTCACTATGCAAGCACAATAACTTATTTTTTTCACCTCTATATAAATGATCGTTGTTTCGACACAATTCATTATGATATAAAAGATTTATAATAAAATCTCTCTTCATCAATATTTCTTAGTATTCCATTCTTTACCAGTTG